TAAATCATGATATAGTAGAGATAAACTAAAAATATAAATAAATTTTGAACGTTAAATTTGATCTCCTTGATTTATTTGTTCATTATCATAATGCTGGTATTTGTGTTCTTAGTATTTCTGCATTTGTGATGTCATCTCCAATTACATGGCATAACAGGAGCGAGTCCTATTATTATATTACTTGACAGTTAACCTTACCATAGACGTTTCCTTAAGTTGCTTTTCCATCGCCATGTGATCTAACTCCGGCATGTTCTTTATGCTTTCATAGAAGGAGTCTACAAGATTGCGGTAAGTAGGAATCTCCTTGGCATATAGCAGGCGATGCGCATCTGTGTGCTGTTTGAAATAGTTTAGGAAATACTTTATTGCTTCTATTTTCTACAATGGCACACACAATAACAGTAGTTGCTTAACAGTGCTTATTAACCATACATTACTTGTCTTATATGGTTATATAAGGCTGGATAAGGCTATTTAAGTAAGTATAGCTATATAAGGTTGATAGTTTTAATAAAACACAGGTGTTATTATTAAGGCGCTTTTGATTGCACAACAACGGCGGGACGTACGTCATGTCACTAAGAAGTCATCTGTGCATGCGAGAACGTTAAGTTCTCGTTGTTGGATGTATTCAAGGATGCAGCTTGGCCCGAACCTACGTTGTGCAGAGGAATCACGTCGTGGTGCAAATCCAAAGCTCCATATTACTTAAATTACTACTATAATTAACGTAATTATATAATCATATGCAATTATGTATAATGACTTTGAAATACTATATCTTCCATCTCAATCTCAGTCCATTGAAATAGTGAAGCTAAACTGAGTGTATTACTATTGAATGGCAGATTCAAGGTGGCCCAGCCAACTAACACTGGCTTTAAAGCATACAGTGTTCTCCCCTTTAGGTATCTAATTATTATGTAAATAAATATGATATTAATATAACCACTTGTAGATGAAAATGGCTGTTCAAAAGCAAATGAAAATGGCCTTAGAAATACTGCAGTCTTCCATATTATACTCAGTTCATTAAAATAGTATATCTAAACTGAATATATTAACATTCTTATTCTATATATGATTATTTTCTTTCCCATAGTAATAATCATCATTGCTGCATTACCTGGGAAAACTTAAGCTCATTAGTTACACATGAATCAGTGAATGCATTTGAGATGACAGAGAGGGCATCCTTCACTTGGTTCGTCTTTGGAATGTCGAAGAGGAACTCTGGATGGTTGATCACCGTAACCCAAAATCTTTCACACACACTGGAACAAAAATAAAACAATGCATCTGAAAATCTTGAAATTCAG